TGTAATGGAGAAGAAATAGCTGTGAAAAGGCTGTCAAAGGGTTCAGAACAAGGAGATCTAGAATTCAAGAATGAGGTTATGTTGCTTGCCAGGCTTCAGCACCGGAATTTGGTTAGGCTCCTAGGTTTCTGCTTAGAAGGCAATGAAAGGATTCTCATCTACGAGTTTGTTGTGAAAGCTAGCCTTGATCACTTCATATTCGGTACTATCTCCCTTCTTCCTTTCAGCCATTAGCAAAGTATAGACAAAAACTTTACAAGACCTCAATAAAAATCTCATCTTTTTCAATGAATCCATTTTGACTACTGTTCTTGTTTGATTGCGTAGATCCAATCAAGCGCATACAATTGGACTGGGAAGGTCGCTACAAAATCATAGGAGGCGTAGCTAGAGGAATTCTTTACCTTCACGAGGATTCCCGTATTAGAATAATTCACCGTGACCTCAAAGCTAGTAACATCTTACTAGATGCAGAAATGAACCCCAAAATTGCAGATTTTGGCATGGCCAGGTTGTTTGTGATGGATCAAAGTCATGCTGATACAAGTAGAGTTGTTGGAACCTAGTAAGTTATCAATAGAGTGCAATAAATTTATAAGCCATCTATGACTTCACCTATTCAGTTTCATGAGCATATTGGAAAATAATTTGGCATATGATACATATCTTGGCAAATAATTTAGCATATGATACACATCCAAGTCTTCGTGATACATGCTACTGATATCAGTTTGATCCTATCAATGTACGTCAATATACATACAGCGGATATATGGCTCCAGAATATGTATTGCAAGGCCACTTCTCTGTCAAATCCGATGTATTTAGTTTTGGTGTGTTAGTTATTGAAATTGTTAGTGGCCAGAGAAACAGTTGTTTTCGCAGTGGAGAGAATGTAGGAGACCTCCTATCTTATGTAAAGTATAAATATACGTCAATTTTGTATATACTAGACTTCAAATAAGTTTGAAAAGAATCAGAACAAATGTTGTATTCAATAATTGCTGCAGGCATGGAAGTGCTGGAGAGATGGGCTACCTATGGATCTTGTTGATTCCAATTTGTTGTCCGGTTCTGGTTCGGTGTCAGAAATGATGAGATGCATACATATTGGCTTGCTGTGTGTTCAAAAGAATGAAGCCAGCAGACCAAGCATGGCTTCAATTGTTCTGATGCTTAGCAGCTATTCTCAGAGTCTACCCACACCTTCACAGCCTGCATTCTTTATGCACAGCACCATTGACTCAGACTTGGAGTATAACTCGAATACGACACAATCCAATGGATCAACTAGTTTTCACTCGAAAGATTCGAAGAATGAGGTTTCAATTACTGATCTGTATCCCCGATGATGTCTTCCTCACTTGAAGTGTTAATAAAATACAGAGAATTATTGTAATTTATCCTAATTTAAATTTATCAATCATTTATGATGGTTCTTAAATCTTCATATATCAATTGGAGAGACTGCTTTTCTTCTTGATTGTTCTTAAATCAGAATCTGATAAGAATATTATTCATAGATAGCTTCCTCCTTACAGGATTCATTACCTATCTAGTGCCAAGAGAGAATCAAAATTTTCAAATGCTAATAAATCATATTCCATCAATAATATGAAAAGTTAATGTAAATTTTTTTAATATAAAATAAGACTATAGTTAAATTAATATAATTTTTAAATATAATAAAGAATGCATCATAGTCCATTAAAATAAGACTTGGTAAAGGAAATTTTGCGTTGACAAGCAAACAAATGTGTTTTCTGGGTTTGTCTTCAACCGCTCCCATCTCTTTCAAAGAAAATTATACAAGTTTGATTGATCTTGTACTTGTCTTAAGTGACTATAGAACACCCAAGTGCCTTTCTTATAATCGTATATGCCTCTGTATATTATATATTTTATGTAAAATGTATTTTCCCTGGGCCGCATGCAAATTTTGATTAAATTATATGTTATTTCTTAGGGATTTTTCCACCAAAAAGTAATCAATAAAATTGCATTCAAGTAATGAACGTAAGGCATGAACCTACGTATTTGAAAAGCCAAAATGACTTGTCTCTAAGCACTTTCATCACCATCAACTCCATTTTATAATTTTCAGAGCTTTGATTAGTCCTGCTAGTCAAACATTGCTAGCTAGCTAGTTTCTGGAAAAGTGAAAGCGTGGAAATTAAACATGAAAACATGAGCGTATTCAACAAATGCAATGCGAAGACGCAAGAAAAATGACTGGGTCCTGACCTTCATGAAAAATCTCTTAATTTTAATATAAATGATTAGTCGTCTTATTATCATTTAGATCTGTGAGATTTTTTCAGTAATTTCCAACTTAATGCTCAGAGGTTAATCTTTTTCTATCCTATCATGTACCTAAATTAGTTAACCAGACCCACCATCTCAATCACTTTTTTACTTACCATGAGGTTGATCTATTCAACCATACAATGCTTTAAATAACAAATATACAAAACAATCACAAAGTTCAAAATTTGCTTCTGTTTCTGTTACATGTTGTTGCCTGTAATGGTTCCCTCAAGATTGATATTGTTTCTTTTCTCCATCTTCATTCTTATCAGCAACTTTGCAAGCTCCCAACAAGGAACTGCTAATCACTTTTGCTTGAATGAAAAGGGGAACTATACAACTAACAGTACCTACCAGGCAAATCTCAACAGCCTCCACTCCTCCCTCTCCTCCAATTCAGAAACCAGCTCAGGATTCTATAACATCTCTGTTGGCCAAGGTTCTGATGAAGTTCATGCAATTGCACTCTGCAGAGGTGATTTGAGTCAAGATACTTGTCTTGAATGCATAAACAGTGCTATTGACGAGCTTATAACTCTCTGTCCAAGGCAGAAGGAGGCAATTCTATGGTATGATAGGTGTATGTTCCGTTACTCAAATCGTTCTCTCTTTGGAGTTATGGAAACCTCTCCAGAAAGGACACTAGTGAACCCTGAGAATGCGTCAGATGCCCAACAGTTCACTAATGACTTGAGTGACTTGTTGGCTAGCTTGAGAGACAAGGCTGCTTCAGGTGGTTCTGCTAGAAAAGTTGCAGGAAATAGCACTAGTGGTCCTCTTTTGCAGACAATATATGCACTCGTGCAGTGTACTCCTGATTTATCCGAGGAGGAGTGTTTAGGTTGTATAAATGGAGCTTTTGACCAAATTTCTGGTTTTCTAGGGAGAAAAGGAGCTCAGGTGCTCAGGCCCAGCTGCAAAATCAGGTTCGAGACTGAACCTTTTTTTGATGCTATATTAGTGGATCAAGAACCAGTTGCACCACAAGGTATGATATTGTTTAACTTGATATCTTTTCCCCTTCCAAATGAAGAAAAGGGGGAAAAAAAAAAAGATATAGATTCTTGATATTTGGAATGATAGCAATGGAAAGCTTGTAATTCAGGATAGATGGCCTGTACTACTTAACCACCAGAACCCTTTATCCACAAATCTGTATATTCTTGCTTTTGCAGGAAATAGGAATAACTCATCTAGGAAAATCATCGTGGTCGTGATACCAACTGTTGCTGCTGTTATAATTATTATCTGCATAGGCATCTGCATCTTCTTTAAAATTAGGAAACCAAAGAAAAGTGTTAAAGGTGAGTTAATTTGTTTAAATTTTTTCATTATTATCAAAGATTTTGCTGCTATTGTGATGTTACAATTTGTTTGGCACAACGTATAACAGTTCCCAAACAACAGGCAGATCTCCGATATATCTGTTTGATACGTCTGAAACTAAACAAATACATGGAATTGTGTGAAAAGACTCATACTGAAATACGTCTTTGATTATCTAAGAACATGACAATTTGAAAGCTGATTGTGTTCTTTAGTATGTTGTGTTCTTGTGAATATAATTATTGATTTAGGTGGTAACCAAGTAGATTATCAGTCGAATGAAGGATAATGAATGGGTTTTTTTTGTTCTCTAAAATTAAGCTAGTAAAAAATGTCTTCTTTGAAAAATTTGTTTGTGCTTGAGGATGTATGCTAACTTGCTCCATTTGGTGTAGCACATGTGGATGAAATTGATAAACCTGAATCCCTGCAATATGACTTCGACACCATTCAATCTGCAACTGATAACTTTTCAGAAACGAACAAGCTTGGAGAGGGAGGATTTGGTTCTGTTTACAAGGTAGAAAGGACGGAAATCTACTTTTGTGTTAGAATCTGACAGCTCAGAAATTTCAACTGAAAATATAAAATTTGTTTCTTTTGTGTTCCAGGGTCAGCTTCCGAATGGGCAAAAGATAGCCGTAAAAAGATTGTCTGTTGGGTCTGGACAAGGAGATCTGGAATTTAAGAATGAGGTCCTGTTAGTGGCCAAGCTTCAACACCGCAATTTAGTTAGGCTCTTAGGATTCTGCTTGGAAAGAAGTGAAAGAATTCTCATCTATGAGTTCATGCCTAATGCAAGCCTTGATTACTTCTTATTCCGTATTGCTTTCTTTTCTAACCTCATATTATTTTAATAACAAAATTTAGTTGAGTATACGAGAGCACAGTTGCTTGTTAATCTAAATTTAAGTTTAAAAAATTGCAGACCCAACCAAGCGTGAACGATTAGACTGGGACAACCGGTACAAAATCATCGGAGGCATTGCTCGAGGACTACTTTATCTACATGAAGATTCCAGACTACGGATTATTCATCGTGATCTCAAGGCAAGCAATGTTCTGTTAGATGCAGAGATGCTCCCCAAAATAGCAGACTTTGGCATGGCAAGAATGTCTGAACTAGACGAAACGCAGGGAAACACCAGTAGAATTGTCGGCACCTAGTAAGTCCTAGGCCAACTTTATATCCTAATAAACATTGTCTGAAATCTGAAACTTGAGACACATCCTAAAAAATATGTGTATATATATAGCACTATGGTATCCTCCATACTTGAAATTGAACTTATTCACCTTGTCACACAGTGGATATATGGCTCCAGAATATGCAATGCACGGGCAGTTCTCAGTAAAATCAGATGTCTACAGCTTTGGTGTGTTAGTTCTAGAAATTGTTAGCGGTCAAAAGAATAGTTGTTTTCGTGTGGGGGAGAATGTTGGAGACCTTCTAAGCTACGTAAGTAAATTCTACTGCTGCTCATTTCTTTTATTCGCATAAGGAACTAAATGCAATCAGAATCTTACTGTAAAATATCTTATAATTAAAATTGAATGTTGCAGGCCTGGAGAAATTGGAGGGAAGGTACAGCAGCTGATCTTATAGATCCTGCAGTTAGGGATGGACCAAGGAATGATGTAATGAGATGCATCCACATTGGGTTACTTTGTGTCCAAGAAAATGTAGCTGACAGGCCAACTATGGCCTCTGTAGTTCTGATGCTCAACAGCTACTCTCTCACTCTCCCTGTGCCTTCTCAGCCGGCATTTTTTATGCACAGCATCCTTGAATCCAGCATGTCATCCTCCTCCCTTGGTTATCCCAATTCAAGAGTCACTTGCACTAGCAATTCTAAAAGTGAAACTCTCCCCTTGTCAAGGAATGAGGCTTCCATTACAGAGCTTATGCCTCGATGATGGTATTACGCATGTAACATTTCTATACTTGATTACTTGTATATTTCAATTATCCTGATATAAAAGAATATACAAATATATTTCTATTCTTGCTTTCATGATTGCACGGAAAAATCAAATTTACTCAAACAGATTACTGAATATACATAAATATTTCTAGTTTTCTTGATTTGCAATGTTTAGCAGACCAGATAGCAAATTCTGTGGAACAGTAAGGCATGGATGACCAAAAATACAAAAAGAAAACAACAAATAAATAAAGATGAAATGAAGTCCAATTGCTATACAATCAACAAAAGCATTAAAACTGCCATGGTTATGACAATCACAGCGTCTTCTGATGAGGATCTTCTACCACCTGTAACACCATTTACATAAACCAATAAGTAACAAGAAGATCAAATCACCTTTACATAGAACGCATAAATAGTAATCTGAGAAAGAGGAAAGAAACACCAAGGCTATTTCAAAATTCACCATCATTTTCAGCGGTTAAAGAATTGAAATAAAACTGATAATCCTGATACCACATGCTACAGCTAGAGCTATAAATTTCCCATCCTCTCTTGTCTGCATTTTCTGTTCGTTCCGCCTCTAGTCTAAATTCCAAGCACTTGCTACAGTTACTCTTACTTAAATCTCTGGAGCACTGAGCCATGCCATACCTCTTCCCATTTTCTCCGCCATCCAAAACTGCAATCTGGAACAGCAACGGCTGCTCTGGAGCTGTAGTTGCAAGTTCTGTCATGAAATCAAGTCCTTTGGAGCCTATTGATGAATGATCAGTACCATTAAACATAACACCCCAAGATGTATCTAGAAAACCAAAAAAGTCCTTATTTGAATAACGAAGAGAGCACCACCGATACCAGATCTTAACATTTTTACTTCTAGGACAATCTTCTACTGCGACTTTGACAGATTCACGGGTACAGTTAGCACAATCTGCAGCAGAAATATCTCCTCTGCACTGTGTTAGACCATAAAGCTTATCTGAATCATTGCCTACTGCCGTTTTGTAGAAACCATTGTTGAAAGCAGCATTATCAGCTAGTAAAATCCAAAGGTTGTTGAGATTGTTTATGAACGAAATCTCGGAAGTAGAATTATCATCTACTGAACATTCCCAACCATACTTCATATTGGTATCTGCAAAACATTTCCTTTGTAACAGAAACAAAATTGACAATATCAACAACTCTGTCAGCTTCAAACTTGGTGTCTCCATCTCCCTGCTTATATTAATTCAATATGTTAGAGACAGAGATCATAGAGTAGTTTATAGAAAGAAACTATATATTGATAAATAATCTAATAATAATAATAATGTAACTTGCACATGTTCGAAGTCAACTATCCATGCTTGGCACCTGGTCTTCATTGTGCTTGGAAATTATAAATTTGAAGTGAATGGCAAGAAACTAAATTAGATAATCAGAAAACTAATCTCTCGGTCTTTGGGAGATTCATAGGCATTTAAGCCAAAGGAGCCGTTGTCTCATGCAATTTAGTTGCAAGCTAGCACAGATTACAACCCAAGAACGTGATTATGGCCAGAACTAGTCGCAGTTGCTTTTGGTGATTGCAGGGATTGACCGTTCCTTTGTTTTTTAAGATTGTTATTCGATAGGAAACCAGATCAGATCAAGATATGACATCTAATAATTGGTTTTTTTTTTTCCTTTTACTGGTAATCATAAAGGAGCAACGTTGACCTTATGTTTATCTGGGTTGCTATAAATTATTGTACTGAAAGTTTTCCCCAAGCTAAGTGTGGAAACTCACGCAGATTGCCTATCTTTCTCGTGGGTCATGACCTTTGTATTTCTCCATATCCAGTTTCAAGTGACCAAATCCATTTGACACGTTCACAGGGTTTGCAGAAGTTTTTCTTTTCTCTTTTTCTGGGTATCCTAACTTTGAGTAAATAAAAAATGACCAAGCAATTTACTCGGAAACCAGGGAAAGAAAGCAAAAGACCAGAGTTGATAGATCCAAATATGGCAGATGCTTGTTCTGTTGACAAGTCTTTAAGATTGATCCAAGTCTGCTTCTTGGCCTACCATGTCACCTTTCATCTCCATATTCTGACTCTGCCGATATGCACTTCCTTTATAGACATCGCTATGAACAGTTTGTGTTTTTCGTTCTTTTGGATTTTGGTTCATCAGAATTTAAACATGAAAACTTTCTTGATTTACAGGGCAGAGCACAGTGGCTCGTCCATTCTCCATATTCTGTCGACTGATTGTGGTTGATTTTTCAGCAGTGATTTTACAAATGGTATTAAAACCAAATACTAACTTGGCTGGATGTTTTCAGAAAGTGAGAGTTCAGACGGGCATAGCCCAAAATATATTTATAAAAAACAAATAAAATGGTAACGAAAAGAGAAATAACTGCAAAGAAAGAAAATATATTTTGCAAAATAACTTGCGGTTGTTGGAAAAAACCATTAGTGGAGTTGATGCAAAAAGTTGATCATCTTCAAACTATCTATGTGTACGTAACGTCTTGTTCCATCCAGTGGTGAAGCAGACAAACACTCTCTGCATTTGCACTCTTTCTTCTTGGCTTCCTTCCATATGTAGATTATCATTTATATGTTAGTTAATTCAGCATCATCAAGCTGTTGATGGTCTGGTGACCCACCGAAACTTCCTCTTTCCTTTTTCACTCACAACAAATCATTTCATATTTATTTTAATTACAGAAACAGGAATTAAAATGTATATAATTATGGAAATATGAGTTTTTTCAGATATTTTCTCTAAAAATTATCCAATACTTGTAAAAGATAAGGAGAAAAGAAAAATAATTTAAGAAATCATATTAGATTAAGAATTTTACTTTTTATCTTTTTACCCACCAGTAAAAAATCATATTCAAATTTTTATTAGGTAAAGATTTCTACTTTAATTAGAAGTTTATCTTTTTACCCACCGACGAAAATCTTTTCTCTTTTGCTTTTCATTTTGACAGTAAAATATAGTTTTATATTATCTCTACTGTTTTTAATTTTAGTTCGTGCATAAGGTAGAAATATTAAAAATTAAAATAGTTAAATGATAATATATTAAACAAACTGAAGGATAACGTAGTAAACTTTAATGCAATTTATCTTTATTTTAATATTTCCTTTTTTCCCCTTAAAATCAGATGAAAAATAAATAAAGAAAAAGATACACAAAGATGACGATAAGCATGTCGTTCGATTTGGACGCAATGGTAAAGGTTCCTTCTTTTGGTCCTGCCATGCAACCCCTCTCCTGAACTGCCGTCGAGACTGATGCTTAGAGAAGCAAAAAGGAAAGAAGAAAAAAGTGATAAAGAACTCCCGTGAATGAAGAAGATGAAGAGCCATCACTTGAAATTTCTTGCTCTTGCTCTTCTCTTTTTCACTAATTTTACCCCATCCAATGCACAGGAGACAAAACCATCCTCATCCTTCCCTCTGATTCAACAATACCTCAATGCAACTGCTCATCAATGGAGACTTCTCCAGGTACGATCCCAAGAACCCGAACTTAAACTAGGAGCACCCATATTGCTAGCTGGTTTCTTCTGCTTTGTAGCAGCCGCTATCTCCAGCGCAGGTGGTATTGGTGGTGGAGGATTGTTCATTCCCATCTTGACCTTAGTTGCAAGACTTGACCTCAAAACTGCTTCTGCTTTCTCTGCTTTTATGGTCACGGGTGGTTCAGTTGCAAACGTTATTTGTAATTTGTTTACTAAAAGTTCTAAGTTTGGTGGCAAGATCTTGATCGACTTTGACCTAGCTCTGCTGCTGGAGCCATGTATGTTACTGGGTGTCAGCACTGGTGTGATTTGCAACCGTGTTTTCCCAGAATGGCTCATCACCATCATCTTCGCAGTTTTCCTGAGTTGGTCCACTTTCATTACATGTCAAAATGGGATTTCGCTTTGGAAATTGGAATCAGAAACGGTGAGTAGACGTGGATGTGGAGAACTAGAGAATGGGTTGGTGGAAAAGAGTGAGATTTTTAAGGGAAGTGATGAAGGAATTGAAATTAACACGGAGCCTCTTTTGGGTCTAGAAGGCGACAACCGGAGATTGAGGTTTCCATGGACGAAATTTGGAACCTTGGTTGTCGTCTGGTTTTCCTTCTTCGTTCTTTATCTTATCCGAGGCAGTAAATATGGGCAGGTACGACTCCTCTCATTGTTCTCTTCTTCAGCTACGCTATTCTCAATTTTAATTGTACCTTATGCTATTGTTCTTACTTTTCTTTTTTTCTTTTTGTTGTTGAAAATTTGAATTGAAAGCATGTGTAATTGAAAGAATGTTGTTAGGCCCAGTTAAATATATATATATATATATATATATATGTATATTAAACAAGGTATTAGTAGGGACAATCTTCTTCCTTTCCTTTTAAAATATTATTAGTTGAGACAATTAGTCTTCTCTAGGTTAGACTTCTTGACAAATTGATTAAGATGAAAGTTTTCATCTTTATGTTGCTGAAAAATGTTTTATCTTTATCTTAGTATGAGAATCTTCTTTTAGGATTCTCAGTTTCAGATTAGTGACAAAAAAGAGACGAATAGGTAATGACAATACAATTAAGATGTCTGTTATGTCCCCAAGTGACTAAAATGATTCCGGATTTAACTGGAATTTTTCCAAGTTTACAAATAAGAGTGGTCAGTACTCATGGACTTTATGGAAACCAAAACAGAAAAAGCAAATATGAATGAAAATTTCAATCATGGTCGGTCTGGATTATCCTCCTGCTCTCTTGCTTAGTTCTTGTAATTTGTTTCTTGAAAGTTATCTTTATCTAACTGTAACGAAGCAATAACTGAACCCATGTTATTTGGCAATCTGAATCTTGGAAATTTACATATTGTGAGCCTCCATCACCAATTTAATATGTGTGATTGTTAGGAATATGTGCAGGCAATTATGTCAATAGGACCTTGTGGAGTTGAGTATTGGGCTCTCATATTACTCCAGATACTTTTTGCTATTTCTTTTACATCATCAGCCATGTGCAGCAAAGAGAACCTTGATCATCATCCACTTCCAGACCAACAGGTGCTCAATAATGCATGAAAAAATTAGCTTACTCATTGTGCAAATAACTTTGAATCATGGCCAATCTTGTTAACAACTGAGTTCTGTATACAGGACATAGACGATGCAAGGCCAAGGGAACCATCCAAAAAGATGATCTTCCCAGTTATGGCACTTGTGGCTGGAATTTTGGGTGGTCTTTTTGGAATTGGAGGTGGAATGCTGATAAGCCCGCTGCTTCTTCAGGTTGGAATAGCTCCACAGGTAAGCTGCCTATGAGCCTTTTCTGCATCTTCTTAGGATACCTAGCGTAACTTCATCTTCTATTGCAGGTAACTGCTGCAACTTGTTCTTTCATGGTTTTCTTCTCATCGACTATGTCTGCAATCCAGTATTTGATGCTGGGAATGGAGCATACGGAGGTTGCTTTTGTATTTTCTATTGTCTGTTTTGTTGCATCACTTGCTGGTTTGCTAGTTGTACAGCAAACTATTAGCCGATTTGGACGGAACTCACCGATTGTGTTCTCAGTTGGTATAGTGATGGCTTTGAGTACCATTTTGATGACAAGCTTTGGGGCTGTTGATATTTGGAGGAATTATGCATCTGGGAAATATATGGGGTTTAAATTACCCTGTTGAAGCAAAGAAATTATAACGAACCATGTTTCTATAAATGAGCCAGACAATACGCAAGATTATGTTTTTATGGTTTCTTCATTTGTAAGCGGCACCCTGGCCAAGGGCACATAATTGTGGGTTTAATTAGGCCAAACCTGTTTATCAAGTTGCCGTGCCGTTTCTTCAAATTTCAGTTCTATCATGGGAACGATAATAGAATATAAATAGAACAGAGATTTAAATGAAAACTTGTATTTAGTTTCTTGTCAGATTAAAGTAAGATGTCCTTTTTTGAAATAGTTGAATCAAATTAAATTGCGATAAGTTTGGGAAAAGGGAAAAAATGGCAGCCAGAAAATGTACATGGTGGCTTCCTTTGACATTTGTTGGTGTGGCGAAATTTGAAGATATAGTGTTTTGTGCTATTATGATTTTTGCCTTATACAAAAAGTACATAAATGCCTAAAACATGTTTGGTATTTTTGTTCATGTTACTATTCTATTGGGGCATATGGGGTTGGAGGAATTTTTGCTCTCCCAAGCACATATACATATATAGTTCGGTCAAATATTTTTGCATATTTTACCTTACATAAACTTTGAGTGAGCATGTGCTTCTTTTTATCATCATATGATGTGATTTCTGGTCACTCAAGGCAGAATTTTTTGCTAATTGTGCATTCTCGAGTAGTATACTTCTCTCAAGTATTTTAGCATTGAATACTTGTAAATAAACTAAAAATTATGCGGAGTGTGAGGATCATATATTCTTGTTGGATAAATGAGGTGTTATTTCATATATTGAATTTCTAAGTCATAACTTGATATTTACTTACCATCCTAACCCTTGTGTCTTCTTGCACAATATGCAAATAGCACATTGACCCAGAATTTACATGTATTCAAGAATCAAAAACAATGCAACAGGTCATTTCAAGTTTAACATATCAAAAACTGCTAGCAGAAATAACCAAATTTCTTTGATCAAAATCTTAAATTTTAATTATCAAATACTCCATGAGAAAACTCCTAATTTTCCCACCACATGCCTGTAACTATCCTTTATATTCTTTACCAACCTTTGCCAAAAATGGGGACGTTTGAAAGGGAGGATGAATGGCGGAATCCATATAAACAAGGTTAAGTCTGATGAAAATGATAAGCCGAGCAAAAACTGAAGACTGCAATCTCAACTCTCAAGCAACAGGTGGACGGAGGACGTGGTCCTGTGAGGTATCAACTGCAGCAGGCGGCATGAACTGCCACATGGAAACACCAGGATAGCTAACAAATGGGACCAGCTTGCCACCAACAACTTGAGCCGGGGCAGAAAATGGAGCTGCAATGGCCGGAAGGTGAGGAAGGAAACCTGGCTGAGAACCTAAGGCTTTCACCTGCCTCTCAAGACTCTCTTTATCAGTCTTTAGCCTCTGCTTCTCATCCCGGAGTTCATTCTTCTCGGCCTACATAATAAACCTTTACTCAAATAACACATAACAGTTGAATGCAAGTTCGTTCAATCTTGATTCAAAATATAACAGGACCATAATTAACCAACAAAATGTAGAAAAAGGGACTACCAAACTCAATATCAACCTTTAGTTCATTGACCTTCTCCTGCAGATCCTGATTCAACTCCTCCAACTTTCGAGCTTCATCACGTAACTGATTCACCATTCGAACAGCCTCAACCAATATAAGAGACTTATCTACTTTGGGAGACCTTCCAGGATCCAGAACATAACTCAATTCCAGGAACCTTCAGATCAAACATTACTTAGGTCAGCTACAGACACATGCACTCAAATAGAAACAAATGGGAAATCCTTCACAAAATAATACAACAAAACATGCCTATCGTTGAGCCTATCCCTCCGCATTTTCTCTCGACAAGCTTTGGAACCAGAGGAGCTACATGATTCCGGCCTCACCCTGACCAAAAATAAAATAAAATAAATTGGAAAATAATGCAGTAGAAAAGGAAATGAAACAGTAATTTCCAAGATAAGATGTGGACAACATAGGCAAGAGCTTGCAAAGGTAGAAATTATTAGAATACTACAAAGATTCAGATTGGTAAGGGCATACCGTTTCCGAGACCCTGCTTCCTTAAGCCCATCCGAATTTCTTAAGGAATCATTAAACTCCACACTGAAAAACAACCAAGGAAACCGATGGGCATGTAAATGGAACAACTAGATATTGAACCTTGCTCAAAACACACTGCACGGAAACATCGAAAAGGAACCCCAGCTAAATATAAATTCCTATACTTGCAAACCCAAAACGTACAAACTTCCACGAGTTTCACAACAGAAGCAAATCATATGAGAAATTCTTTGTTTGCCAAAGCCTATACAGTCTCAATGGTAACTCAACTAAACTGCATTTATATGAAGAAAAGCCGCATTTCTAGAACTAACTGAAATGCCAATACAATATGACTAGCATGTCCTTCATATTTATCAAGATAATTATCATAAGTAAACGAATAAATAGATAAATAAACATGTTGGAAATTCAAATTGAAACGAAAAACCAATATGTTGTAAACTCAAAGGTACTCTTCAAAACACGAAAACAGAAAACGAACGGAGCAGTAATTAAAACAATAAAAAAGAAGGAAGAAAAAATATATGCACCTTACACGCACTGTTCAGCAAATACAATAGCATTCAAATCTAATTGCCACAAACCACTAACCACGACCATGCAAAATATAGCAGAACCCACAAATTAAAATCATAATAAAAACGGAAATGAATAAAACAAATTGGGGAACGTACCTGTGAGGATTAGCGTCGGTGGCGGATCCGGTGGAGAAAGAGTGAGATGACCAGAGTACCCCTGGAGGATCAAGAGAAGGTAGATCACCGCCAGGGACAGAAATGTCTTCTAGCAAGGCGTAATCAAATACCCAGTTGGGATTTTCAGGAGAAACCATCTTCTCCTTATGGGTTTCGGCTGCCGAGATTCTTCAACTCAAATTTCCCGGCAAATACAGTAAAAGCAGAGTTTTTTTTTTTTTTTTTTTTTTTTTTTTTGTTTTGAGCGGGGAAGTAACTTGAGAAAGAAAGGGAGAATTTTGTCGCAAGAAAAGAGAGAGATGCGATGATAATAGTAGGGGGTTTGAATGGGGGATTTTTTGTTGATTGGTTTAAAAATTGAGATGCCAAAAGAAAGAATATATGGCGCCAGGACCATAAAAAAAAAAAAGACGAGGAATTGCCAGGAAAAGGTAGTGTCCACATAATATTCCTTCCACCTCTATCAACGAGCTAGTTTCGACAATCATATTATCAAAATTTCCTTTTTTTTTAAAAAAAAAAAAAAAGAAAAAATTAAATTGAATTTCAAATAGCAAAAGTGACCAGCATTTTTAAGCCCATTCCCTACACTTCATTACTTTAATGTAGTTGGATTTTTTGTTCAGACCCAAACAAGGCAACAAGCAAAAATTTTGTATATATACATATATATATATATATATATATTTTGGGTCACCAGTATAACACCTAAATATTTTCTGTGCTAAATATAGGATTTGCCAAGTGAAAATGAACAAATATCCTTTGTATTATGTGACCTCCAACTCTTCATATAAGCTTGTTATTAAATTGTGGTAATGAAGGAGAAGGAATTTTTTGCGACATATTTCAATTTAATTTGCCTTGGTTATCCTAAAAATTAGATAACATATTTATTTCGATCATTCCCTGAATAGAGCACATTTCAAACAAAATGTAATAAACTTCAACCTTATCCAAGCAGATCTTTTGAAGCTTACATTAAAAAAATAATAAAATAAAATAAAATAAAAAAACTGAAAAACACTTGCATACACCACCAAGTTCTAGAGATGGAAAATGTACAAGCAGTATTTAGCTAGGCTACATGAACATGGATGGACTGAACAAAACTATCAACCCTTTTCCTGATCTCTTCCGGATTGGCACCCACCAGCTTGTCAACAATCTCACCATTCCTCATCAGCACAAAAGTAGGCATCGCCTTTATCTCCATCCTCCTTGCTACCTCCTGAAAACAACCCGGTAAAACATCAAATCTTCTCACAACTAAACCAAATGACAAGTTATTTCCAGTCAAACCCATGATCGATATCAAATACAAAACTATCTCCCATTTCTTGACTTTAGCAGAGCTCATAATCTCAGGATGCTTCAAGACATTCTCTAATGACTCAGATTATAATAGAGCAATATCTTGTGAACAATCTGGCAAAGAACCCTCCAAATTATTAGCCTTTTTTTTTTCTCTCTAATGGGGAGACGAGCACACGGCTTTGAACTTTTAGGAACAATCCCAATGATGGGAAGATACCCACCAATTAACCAAAAGCTTCAGGCCAAATTATCCTATTTGGTAACTGGGAATGATCCAAATAAAATTTCAAGTAGTGGTGACCTATCTGATTGAACCAAAACATTGTTCATGTATCAAAAAGGAAAAATGTAATGGTTAAATCAAACGTCAGAAAGATACCTGCAACCCTGTCAAAGAGAATTCAATCCAAGCTTACTCAAGAATCACTAAGAATAGATTTGTGCATCCAACTATGAGTTGCGATATAGAAACGAGGGCCTTACCCCCAACCCATTACATAATCTTCTCAAAGTTCTATACTTTAGTGCTTCCCTTCCATTTTTCATTTACATTTTCCCCTGTGCGTTCATTCAATCTATGGAAGCAGAAAGAGAAAACTTAAAAATCAATTGTACAGGGCATAGATGGGTTACCTTGAGTTCATCAACATCAACAGTGAGAAAAAGAACATTTGGGTAATTCGATGCTAATTCCTCCACATAAGGATTCATAGCCACAGAAGGCATGCACCATGAAGCAGTGAAATGCACGAGAATCTACAAAAACGTATCCCAGATACAAGAAAAGAACAAAAAGGAGAGAGTTCATATTTTACCACCAAAAAAGTGTATATGGAAAAAGAAACCATCACAACAGATCCCATCAGATTCATAATCTACCTTACAAAACCCTCTAATCTTTGATCACAGTCAACAAAATCATGAGCGTAAAAGCATACATAATAATTCAATTGAGTTGAATAAATTAGATAGCAGGATAATGAATGAAGTAAAGGGTTTTTCTTCTATTAGTGTTTCACTGCAACTACTGTTAAAGATCAGCAATGGCTACAGCTAGGAATCATTTAATACCAGGAAAAAAAAAAAAAAAAAAAAAAGCTCTTACAGGGCAGCCTTGATTCTTGGCTTGTGTAAGATAGAAATCCCAGGACTCAACAGAGTCAACCTTGACGACTCTGGTCTTGATATGCTGATCTTGCCCTTCCATGCTCTCTCTCTCTCTTTCTTGCTGTTTCTTCCTTCTTCCCCCTTCTTCCTCTGATTAACTTTCTGGGGGTATATAAGGTAACGCCTCCAATAATATCAGGATATCATCAATGTTTGCTGTGTTGGCAATGGTCGACTACATAAGACAAAATCAGATAATGGGTAGAGTTGAGTTGGGTCCACTCTCATGTTTATCTTTTATTTATATAAAGATAGTAATAATAATTGAGTTCCTTTTTTTTGTTTGCTTTGGTTTTTAAAAAGTAATAATTTCTGTCATTTTACCATGGATGATATAATGTATTTATATACATATATATATATATTTTAACAACCATATTATATATGGGTATCTCATTTCATCGCCTAATTTATATTAATCTTTGTCTTAAAATATTTGCAATATTAATCAAGAATGTCTAATTGGTCTTCATTGTTAAATTTGAACTTTATTCTACATCATATTCCAAAAGAAAAAAGATTACACAAAATATTTTAAATTTCTATTCAACTAAAACTAATATCTACCGAATTATTGTCTAATAAAACTACTAACAATTAAGTAGTAAATGTTTTATACTTTAATCCTCAAATTATGTATAAAAAAGGTATCACCAAAATAAATTTAAAAGTTAAGGTTATTTATTTATAATTTTAGATAATAAAAATTAAAATTACATAAAATTAAAACAATAAATAATGGATTTTATCCTAATACAAAAAATACATGTTTTATTAACTAAACAAAAAATATATATTTTCAAAGAAAGTTTATAAAACTTGGAAGTACTTCCAAATCTAGTTATCATAAAAAACACTGGAATAATTGGCTAAATTTAATCCTTGGCATATGTATTCATCAAATGATTTCTCAATACAACATTTAAAAGTCCAAGTTGTTAAGACAACTAAATTGCACCGGATGTGCAACTAACAAAACCAATATTCCTAACGTTATGTTATTTAAAAGAATACAAATCATGATACACATACACATCCAAATAACACCATTAAAAATTATAAGCAAACGTTAATCATAATTCTGTATTACTTGCGAATGTGGCAGCTTGTGTCCTGAATCATTAAAACAATGGCTCCCAAAGTTTAGCTGCAACTCAACCGAGAATCTGCTAGCTTCATTACCGTCTGGCGTCTCGGAATGCCAATTTCACAAGCATTGACTTTGGCAGCAAAACGAAGTGAGCAAAGAGATTCACCAGCAGAAGAAGGATCAGGAGAGAGATTTACAAACATCAATGTTTTAGAGTCCCCACCAAGACATGGCTGCTCATAAAGTAATATTCAAGTTAAACCTTATTCAGAACTTCATAAATTAACTCACAAATTATCACATTATATTCAATGAGCAACTAAACATTAACCTATTTATTACAATGAAACAGATTAATACTGAATCACATCAATAATTTCTAGAGTTTTTAACCCACACTTAAAACTCTAAATCGTCATAATATAAAGAAATATTCAGGTAATAAAGTTCAGAAATACAAGAACAGCAGCATGCATAAATTATATGTTAAATAAATAAAATAACAAATTAAATATCAGACCACATTTATCTCTTTAAGAGAAACTAACGTTTAACTTAATAAAATATAAATGGTATGAATCATCATATGATCAAGTTACTAACCAATGTTTTTTTTTCTTTTATACATGAAAATTGGGAGTTAGTTGCTCTTTAGATTTAAAAAATAATAATGACATAATGTAGAAAGTCATAATTTAAAAGATTATCTCATAATAAAATATTAATTTACTTTACAGATCATTAAGATTTGAAAACCAAAGTTAACCTTGTACAGTACAGATCACCGTAATATGATTAATTTTGTAAAAATCTTTCTTTTCACATGAAGAAGGTGTGTTCGCTTTTAGATTTATCAGACATAGTAGTAAGATATACAACACATGGAAATACTAGAAAACTACTTACCTGTAGGAGATATGTTAGTTTTGAGTTCCGGAAAGGAATATGATCCTCCTTCTTTGCTAGAGCCATAATGACGTCGCTTAAAGCTGATAAACTTTTGTTTATGGCCTAAACATTAATGAAAATTATGAGCATAAAAATCACAATAAAAAGCCTAAAATCAAGAGAAAACAAGATATTTGACTTAAGAGTTTTTCAACAATATTGACCTGAGTTTCCTTTAAACGGTCACCTGTTGCCCCACTCCTTGATAGTCGCTCACTACCAGCAAGATCAATAAGGTTCAAGACACCTTGAACTTGTTGTTCAGTGCTCTAGCAAAGAACAAGATGTCAGCAAACAAACAAGTAAGAAGAGATACCATCCACTTGGCAAGCACTGAATCCTAATTACACCATTGGGCCAGTTGATTACCTCATTTACCCCAGATATCCGCAATGTAAACACAAAATGACTTCTTGAAGACTGCTCATTCATTTGTGTCTTACCTACTGACCTGAGAAGGACGGAAAGCAGATAATATTTTCATCTTAAATTCCTTCGCAAATGTTCAGATATTTAGGGTGAAATGCAAATGTACTTGGACTTTTAAAGTTTTAAAAAATTAGGAATAAATTTACAGACCTTAGGAACAAAAAATTATTTAACGTAATTATATATTACATTCTAAAAATACATTGTTGGAACAGAAACCACTCAAAAAATTTGAAAATTTACCTGCTCTGTGCAGCCTGCTTCAAAAGCGAGGAAATCTCCGTTATGCTGCAGACATCAACAATAGCGAGGTCGCAAACATGAGTATTTCCATTTTGATCATGCTTAATACTGTATTGCTTCCCGGCAATGGCATTTTCTGTCCGTGTTAAGTCCGAACAACTTGATCTACTCAATGATAGCAAATCGCGAATGTTTTCATTGTATATTTCCAGCATCGAGGCCTAGACATCTCAAAAAGAGCATGCTAATAATATCCAACCTCCAACACAAGCAATCTAAAATAACAGATTAAACAAATTTTACCTGCATTTTGTATTTCCAACCCTGTGCAGAAAGAGATTGACTAGTTTGGAATATCTGCTCTAGTGAACGAGGTATCAACCCTTTCTCCCCTGGAGCGTCAGGCCTACCCATCATGGTATAGGTTTTACCAGAACCGGTCTGTCCATAAGCAAAGATGCAAACCTGCTCAACAGAACAAAAAATGCATTCAATTAATAAACATTTTCAAAGAACATAGAAAAACCAATTACTGAAAATAGTACCAAATAAATCATCAAATTGACAATAAACAATATCTTTCTTTCCAAAAATATTTTCATATAGAACTGCAAAATATAATTCAATATGATAAAAATGAACCAATATTAACTGCATGTTTGGGCATGAGCCAAGCACCAGCAATTTTATGGGATGAGACAAAAGCACAAGAAACATAAACTGCCCTTTGGCATGGATTAAGGTTGTTTTTCTGGTTATTGATCTTGAAACAAACAATCAATCAGCTGATTTTCTCAACAGGGGAGTCTCAGCCTGCTAGTCACATCATCTGGAATACTAGAGCATCTGTTTGTTACAAAAACAAGATGATGGCTGAATAAATCACCTTATAACCATCAAGGGCACTTTGTATTAGCTGAGAAATTTCTACAAAAACATCTTGCTGAGAAGCCTCATGATTAAAAACCTTATCAAACATGAAAGGATACTTTTGTCCTGCATTGAATATAAAACCTTTAGTGTTTGATAATGTTATGATTTCAGCTGACAAAAACACAAATATTTGCAAAGACAAATGGAAAATTTACAACTATTTTTTTCCAAGACAGTTCCAAGTAGATAAAATCAAATTAACAGATGCCTATACCACTCTGCATTAAGTCCACGCCCCTGCCTAAAGCTTCCACTGATGTCGGATAGGAAATGACAGATGCTTCTGCTCCAACACCATCATCTGGTAACAAAGGACGCACCCGACAAAATACCCGAATATTGCCTTTCAGTTCCTACAAAAACAGTATACTCAGCATGTATGAATTCACAAGGTAAGGAAAGAAAATAATAACCATCTAGTGTTATTACCAGAATAGTGTTATGTAACTTTTTCCTTAGCATCTCTCCTTCAAGAAGTTGATGTTCTGCGTCTGCTAGACGATCTTGCAATTCATGCACAAGTTTCCTTTGCTCTTGAAACTCTGTCTTTGTTTCTGAAGCAGATAAAGAAGCCACCTATAGGATGCAAATAAACATTTGTTCAGAGTTAACATATATGCATATACTACAAATAATCCATGTAATTAGCACAAAGATACCAACTCTTACTAAGAATCGCTAAAGTACCTTTAATTTCTCATTTAAAACAGCTAGCTGGCACTCCATTATCCTTATTTGCTCTCTTTGAGAGGAACATGTTTCCTGCAGAAGCAGACTCAAATTAAAAAAACTAACAACTACAAGTCTTAGTTAATTACACAAATACAATTTTTTCGACAGACCTCCAAGCATTTTATTTTTGTTGTCATGTTGTCTAGTTCTTGACAGGACTTCCCGGTACTTTCTTGGTACTTGACTATCTCAGCAGTCAAGGATTGGACCAGTGCTACTTGGCGATCACGATCCTCTCTCACTTGTTGCAGCTCTCCACGAAGGCATTTCACCTCACTAACCAATGACTCTTTCTGATTAACGGCCTCGTCTTGTGAAGCCTAGAACATAACCATTGATCAGAACTCAATGAAGAAGGAAAACGAAGCCCTGGAAATAGCTTACTCTCCACAGTTATCAAGCTTAAGGTTCCATACTCTGGATAATGTCAACTGATCCTGCAGTGACTTATAGTGACCCCTCAGAGTGCTAAGGTTCTCCACAATTGTTGATTTCTCCTTTTCTACTCGATTCAATGATTCACGAACGGCTTCTAGGTCAGTCTGAAGTTTACTGTTGTATTGCTGTAGACTTGTGTTATATTCCTGTAACCGCTTGTACATATCTTCAAGTGAAGTGGCCTGCATCAAGCAACAAATTCTGAGGAGATCGACTTATAAATTTTACCAAAGTCATATGAAGACTTGCAAGCAATTCAACTAAGCAGAAACAAATCATGAAAGCTATTATCCAAATAAGTTTCATTCTACCTTTTGCTTCGCAGCAATTATCTCTTGCTGAGATTTTTCAAGCTCCTCCCTCAGAGAAACCTGCAACTTCTCAGCAGCAACCCTAGCCTCATTTTCCCTTTTATGGCAGTTAATTGCTTCCTAGTTGTCAAGGTTCAAGTTAAAGTGCAAAAAAGAAAATATTAATTTGTGGGAAAAAATGAGGACATCAAACCCAAACTCTGTGACAAGTAAGTCTTACTTCCTTTTCTGATACTTCATTTGCAAGTCTAATTTGTAAAGAGGCACTGTTTTCCCTCAATTGTGCAAAAGCTACGTTAAACTCCTCTTCTTTACATTTCATTTCAACCTCTAAAATTCCCCAAAATATCAATGTTATAAATCAAAAGTAAAAGAAGTCTAAAGTATAAAGACTGTTTTCAGATTACACATCAATGCAAATAAAAGAAAACCAAAATTACCTGTCTCCGTGCATCTTTTCTGTGCAGATTCTAGTGAAATCCTAAGATTGTTGTTCTCCTGGAGATTGTTGTCTGCTACTTGCTGAAACCATTTGACACAAACCTTGAGTCTCTTGATAAGTTCAGTCATTTGCTCAATCTTGGCCTGCAAAATCACGTGAAGGAAACCTAAACAAAGTTACTATTAAGAAAATGAGCAAATTTTGTTTCTTTTGGCTACCGCAAAAAATCAAGCTACTTTGCTGCAAAGGAAAAGACCTTTGAGTCAAACTTGTTTGCTTTTGGTTTCTCATTGAGCAACACCTCAATTTCTTCTTTTGTGAACTCCACCTTGCCACACTCCTCTGTACTGCCGACATCAGTGTTGGACGAACCATCTTGCTTATTGTTAACAACAGCAAACGCTTGCCTACGTACAGCGGCAGCAGTTTCCAATTTTCTACGTTTATCAAAGGGAATGGTGTTGACACATTCCTTTTTCTGCCAATCAACAAAAAAAAAAAAAGAAAAAAAATGAAACCAAACAGAAAGGTGTTCTCAACTATAAACTTGCGTACCTTTCTATTGTGAAGAACATAACAAAATTAATAATTCGGGATAGAAAAACCAAAATACACAGAAGAGCCACTTGCTTCAATTAAATTGAAAATGAAAATATGGGCCTCTACTTTTATGCATAGGTAATCTCTTCTAGTTTCAAAACTGAATTTATAACCAGCATGTTTTGCTTCTGGATTTATCCACACTATTGTTAGAAATACTATCTTCCTTTCCAAATTTAGAGAACTAGTAGAGAAAGTTGTTCTCTTCCAGGAGAAGAGTGGTATCCATGATCCAGCTAACGCCGTTAAAACAAAGGCGCTTGTAATGAGCTTACATAATCATAAATATAAAAAATTTAGAGTGAAAAGTAGCACAAAACATAGGTTATCTAAATAAATTCCTCCAACTTGGTCCTGCATCTTGGATTTCAATTCGGTAAACTTGTCCTCCGTTAAGATACATCCAAAAGGAGGAAAATCCAAGAAGCTTTACTCCGAAAACAAGGAGTAAAAGCATGTTGAGAAGTTGAATGACCCCCGATAAAAGCTATCCCTTTTGAGGCATCATGATTTTACATTTTCCAATTTCCTCTGTCATCCTCTGTTCTCACAGCAGCCAAGCAATCTCTAAAACTAAAAAGAAAAAAGATATAGAGACTTACAGCAGAGGGACTCCGTGGAGGTCGGTTCTGGTTACGGGGCGGCATCTCCTCGAAACCAATTTGGAACACGGAAACGGAGATTAATTCAAATTGTTTTATGGAGAAAGGTTCACTTCAGACGTTAGGGTTTGAAATGAGAGAGAGAGAGAGTGGGGTACTGGGGTTTCGTGATTTGGGGTGAGGAGAGGAGAGGAGAGGAGAGGAGCCAGGGAGTGAAAATTTGAATTGATTTGAATTCAGATCTGGCGGAGTGGGAAGGGAAAAAAAAGAAACGTTGGATTTTGACGCATGAGGCTTCCATATTTCTTTCTTTGAGGCTTAACGACCTTTTGGGCTCAAATGGACCGGAATTAGTTATTACTTCTCAGCCCAGTTCTTAATACGGCAACAGTTACATTGAGCAACTTTTTTATTATTAAAAAAAATAATAATAATAATAATTGTAATATATTCATTAAAAAATTATAATTTATTCATTAAAAAAAGTCATAATTCTAATAAAGAAATACCAATTGAATTGTTTATTTGTAACGAACATGAAATAAGCATATTAGTATAATTAAATAATTTAAATCAAAATAAATGTAATAATTTAGAAGCAACAGCTGCAAAGCCTGATATATCTGAAGTTGAGAAAGGCCATCGTTGGAGGAAGAGAGAAACAAACCCTTTTTACACGTTTGTGAAAATTACTTCTTCACCAACAAAACTCACAAACTACTTCAAAAGGGTATCATCAACCCTGCTACATTGTCTTTACATTTTCTTTTTATAAATAAAAAAAAAAAAAATCATATCTGAAGAGAGAAAGAAGGCAGGCAGCAGGTAAAGCAGAAAAGATTGCACAACTGGTGGAGAGAACTTGGCGCAGAAATCTGCAGAAGCGGAGTCGCGCCGTGAGCTGGGCCGGAAGGCGGAACCAGAAGATCAGAGCCAAGAAAGTAGACGGGGAGAGAACCTGAGGACAAAAAGAAAAACACAATTAATATTTTTATTTAATTTTCAATTAGCATACTTTTAGGTATGCATTTTAAGCCACCTTTTTTTAGGATGAAACTCAGAACGCTAGTCTTTGAAATTTTTAATAAATTTATTCTTGATTATTATAAAATTAAATTTCTCTCTATTATAATTGTTGTTGTGTAATTCACCTTTTATCTGTCTGAATTTGTTTTTATTAGAGTAACTGACGTAACCCGAATTAAAATTAATTTGTAATTTAATTTTTAGTTTTATTCTGATTGTAATTTAGTAATATTAAACTTAATTTAGTTGTGAGAGTCATACCAATTTATAGCTTTATTTGTGATTAATAATTTTAGAGTAACGTGATTAACAATCATCTGCAATCTGATGGTTAGACTGGAAAAGTTAATTAATGCTTGGAGGCATACCTTGGAGTCTGACGTATTCAAGAATCACGTCTCTGCCCTAAGTGGTTAGCCTTGCAGAGTGGTGGCATAACCTTTCTCGCCATTCCAGTATCAAGAAAATCGATTGTCAGGTCCTTAAAGGCTATCCTTGTCCCTGTTTATTGGAACTGCAGGATACCAGTATCCTTGCTGTGAGTTTGGAAGAATTTATGAAGGAAAAGGCAGCTGATGGATAAGTTGCTGAAGCAGAATTTGATGGAAGCGAGAAATAGAATGAAGCAATATGCAGATGTTCACAGGTCCGAGAAGTAGGGGACATGGTTCTCTTAAAAATCCAACCTTACAGATAGACTTCTTTGACCGTCAGGAAGTGCCTTATTAATGGGCTCTTTCTAGTCATATTAGAAAAAGGGACAGGTGGCTCATATTTGCTCAAACAATATAAATAAGGAATCAAGCGACTGTCAGCCCTGAACTTTCTGCAATCATTGCTCAGTGTCAGATTAAGGCAGAACCAGCAGCCATACTTGAGGAAAGGATGGATAGCTGCTCGCCAAAGTCAACCAGTGAAGCAGGTGTTGGTAAAGTGAGTGAATTTGGCCCGGAAATCCACATGGGAAGATTGGACATTTTCCAAGACTTGGTTCCCAAATTGAAACCTCAAGGACAAGGTTGTTCTCCACGGGGAAAGTGTTGTCAGGCCTCATGTGCAATAGAAGGATAATAAGCATAAATTCCAAAATTTAATTATCAATTTACGTTTTACTTTTATCCAGTTATTTACTTTGCATTTTTGTTACTGTTAATTGTGTCAGGTGTAAGTCGTGAGCAAGAGATAGGCCAATTGTCCTAGCTGTTACTTCCTTCAATTAGTTATGCCCACAATTGACTATGTTGATATATGATCTCTCTGCATCAAAGAATCAATCATAAAGCATTTGCTTATTCCTGTCAATTCCTCTCTGCTCCTATTGACCTCCTCCTCTAGTTATTCTCATTCTCTTCTTACTTACCTTCTTCTTTTCTCTTCTCCTCTCCCCTAGCTCTGGTCATTTAAGAGTTATGAGCCAGGATAATAACACTCCTCAATTCTACTAAATTGCTGTCAAAGCCAGCATTTTTTGTCTTATGGTGCCGAAATGCATATAAAGGTGAAGACCAACACTACCAGGTGAGTTCAATATCAGTACTGTATAGAAACTTTTGTGGGTTATTGCTAACAAAAAGAAGCGATGAAGTAATGGTAATATTTAGAAAATGATTTTGTTTTTCAATTAAGGTTTTTAGGAAACAACACCTTTTATTTTATGTTCTTCATGACCAAATCCTGCAGAGTATTCCTGAAAATTGTTGTTCTTTGACCTGAGGACTTGTTCTAAGCCAACTAAGAAACCAAAGGTAGCCATCTGATGGGTGCAACTTCTTAGCTCAGCAAGAATTGTTCTTCAAATAATAGCTGAATCTCAGACGACCATTCAGAGGTCTTCAAACCAGATGGATGACAAATGATTTATTCAGAATTTTATTAACCAAGCAAAAAAAATTTAAAAGAAAAAGATCACCTCATTGTTTTCGTGTTGGGGCAAAAATGAATCGGTCAAGCCTTCTTCATATCATATGCAATTGCCATAGCAAAAAAATCAAAAGTACTCATGTCAACCTTGTTTTTTCTATCTCATTCTTCTGTTGAGATAAAAACTGTGCTCTTTCAAAGTACTACAAAAAGCCATTCTTTAAGTTGATCAAGAAAAAGTTACCATTTACGGGAGGGAAGTAGAAGAATGGAGCAAAGTCCAGGTAGTAGAGGCAGTCTTTAGAATATAACTTGTGCTAGTTGACTGCTTCTCTTGTGCAATGAAGATCCAGGATGATGCTGCGCTCCAATTTAGCCATCGGTATACAGATGATGAAGTTAGATTATAGAAAATATCATTGCTCCTCCATATATATAGTTTTGCAGCTGCTATTAGTTGAATCAGTTTGTTAGGTGATTTTTATTTCAGCTGGTCAGGTCTTAATTCTCAGGACTATTTATTTATTAATCACTTGCATCTCTATTACTTCATTGTACAGTTTGGCAATAAAGATTTATTTTGGTAGGTAGTTGACATTCCCTTTATTATTGTTAATGTAATATATATAATGGCTAGAACACCATTAGTATGTGAATTTGGTGTACAAAAATTTATTCTTTGATATTATATGGGAAATAGTTATATCAGTAATGAGCAGCTAATTCTTCAAATTTATATATATTATTAACATAACAATCATCCAAGAAAGAAAACAGAGTTAGAGGTTTACTTGTGAGAACTAAGAAGGCAAGAAATGGTATCTTCGCCTTTTGCCTCAATATCTGTTCTGGTTATAATCATTTTCTTCTTGTTTTTACTTTCATTCAGAATTGCATGGTCCTATACCAGCACAACCACATATATGTATACCTTTTGCATAGGTGAAAATTACACCGAGAGGAGCATATATGGAACCAACCTCGGCCTCCTTCTCTCTAAGTTAACAGATGAGGCTTCACACTCTATCTTCAACAAGTCAACAGCCGGTGACAGTCCAGACATGGTTTATGCTCTTTTTCTCTGCCGGGGAGACATGAATCATCAACGGTGTCGGGACTGTATCAAAAGTGCAAGACAGAAACTAGTTGAAGAATCATGCTTCCAGAAAGAAGCTGTCATATATTATAACACGTGTATGTTGCGATATTCAAATCATACCATCTTCTCCATCGAAGCAGAAGCTCCAGGTCGTTATTTAGAGAGTTTATATGACGTGTCAAATCCATACAAGTTTAATGAAATATTGGGGAAGAAGTTAGATGAGTTGACTGCTACAGCTGCTGCTTCTTATGGGAATTCAACAGTGCCGTATTTTGCAACGGGGAAAGTCTCCAGAGCTGATGGTTTCAACAACTTATATTGTCTTGTACAGTGCACGCCTGATATAGCTGCTTATGAATGCGAGAGGTGCTTAAGAGTTGCCATCGGATTCGTTCAAGGTTGTTGTCTGAACAAAACAATGGCGATCATGGTCCTGCCTAGTTGTCAGGTCACCTATGATACTGCCCCCTTCTTTGACCTCGCAGCTCCACCACTTCTTCCTCCTCCACTTCCTCCACAAACTAATCCTACCAAAATTGATGGTTGGTAACCATTTATCTTCTTCATTTAATTCCTTTTATTTCTTCCCTAATTACAAGATATTCAATTCTTATTTCCTACTTTCAGCGAAAAAGGCTCCCTTTCCCATTTCGGTAACTGTCATTATTCTAGTGCTGGTATCAGTGGCACTAGCATTATTAACCATCTGGTTTTGCTTTCTGCGGAAAAGACACAAGGGAGCACCCAAAGCCAGAGGTATGTACCGTATTCTCTCCAATCCGATCCAGTAACAGGTACAGCATACAACATGATCTAGTACTATATGCTACCAATTACAGATGAGCTCACTTTGGATACAAATAATGCGGAATCCTCCTTCAACTTTGACTTCCCAACAATAAAAGCTGCAACAGACAACTTCTCCATTGCTAATAAACTAGGACAAGGTGGATTTGGTGCAGTTTACAAGGTAATTTTATTTCTTCTTCAATTCCTTCTTTCCTTTCCCACTGTTTAATGAATTTTATATCTCAGGGTAAACTGCAAAATGGACAAGAAATTGCAGTTAAGAGACTGTCAACAAACTCAGGACAAGGAGACCAAGAGTTTATGACCGAGGTTCTTTTACTAGCCAATTTACAGCACAGGAATCTTGTCAAGCTGTTGGGATTCTGTCTCCAAGGAGATGACAGGTTACTTGTCTATGAATTTGTGCCCAACACAAGTCTTGATCGGTTTCTTTTTGGTATTGCGTTATCCAAACTTATATTTTTTCTCTCTGTTTTTTTTTTTTTAATCTTTTATGTTTATACATGAACATAACCAAGGACTACGTCGACTTAATTAACATGTATACTTCTCTCAATAACATACATATAACTCTAAAATTTTGAAAAACTCCACATACCAAATGGAGCATTAAGTTCACTGTGGCAAGTCTTAGATCATATGCATAAATGGGATTATTAGTGGAGCGAAATTTCAGATCCGAAGAAACGTGCAAGTTTGGATTGGGAAACAAGGAGCAAGATCATTATGGGAATCGCACGAGGGCTTCTGTATCTTCATGAAGATTCCCGGCTGAAGATTGTACATCGTGATCTTAAGACAAGTAATATTCTGTTGGATGCAGAAATGAATCCAAAAATTGCAGATTTTGGTGTTGCCAGGTTATTTGAGATTGACCAAACTCAGGACAACACTAGCAGAATAGTTGGAACACGGTAAGATTACTTACTTGCATATCTGCCTGACACACTTTTCATTAGTACTACTTATATATACAAAGGCATATATTCATTCGTAGGATGTCTGCCTCAAATTAGGAATTAGGACGGAATAATCAATCACTTAATGAAAATTGATTGGTTTGGTTAATTTCACTTTTATATGCGGACTGCAGTGGATATATGGCTCCTGAATATGTATTGAGTGGACAGTTTTCGATCAAATCAGATGTCTTCAGCTTCGGTGTGATAGTGTTGGAAATAATTAGTAGCCAGAAAAACAGTTGCTTCCATAGAGCAGGAGGCGTAGAAGATCTTCTACACTATGTAAGTGGGCCATTTTTTTAATAGAAACATGTGCACACATGTATACTCTGAAGTAATTGAGTGAATATATGCAGGGATGGAAAGTGTGGAATGAAGGAACAAGTTTGGATATGATTGATGACAGGGGGACTACAAATTTTTCAAGAAGTGAAGCCACGAGATTAATCCACATCAGTTTACTGTGCGTTCAAGAAGATGCAGCTAGTAGACCAACAATGGCATCAGTTGTTTTAATGCTGAAAGCGAGCTCTATTACCCTTCCCTTCCCATCACCGCCTGCATTTTACTCTTCTACTTTACAAACACGCACAATAACTACTTTCTGAACCTTCACGTGTATTTTCTGCTCAAATGTTTATATGTTAAATTAATTATGTATTTATATTAAAAAAAATGTCATTAACTCAATTTTAAATTGAACATTATATACAAATATTAAACTTGTTTATGATCAAATTTTAAATTTATACTAAACATATATTTCTTCCAAACAGTCATTATACACAAAATTATCTAATATTTAAATTTGTAAATACTTTTTAAATTCTTTTTTTATTATTATTTTTTTATATAATTAATTAAATTCACTTTGGATCGAACTGCAAAAGATTTCATTACAAAAAAAGTTAGAATATTATTATTATTATTTTTTAAAAAAATTATAATAACTTCTTTTATTATTAAAATAAAAAAATAAATTGAATTGTTTGAAGACATAACATTAGAAAGTTTTGAAAATATAAAAACATAACTTGGGCTGCAATAAACAAATAATAGAAAGGATTAAATTGTCATTCAACTCTTTTAAAAGAATAATAATAATTTACCCTGCATCGTCCTCTTTCTCCTTGCTCTCTCTCTCTCTCTCTTTCTTGGCTGCCCTGCCCTCTCTTCAAGAAACCTCAGTATCGAACCCGTCCTCCTCTCCTTTCCTAAAGGAAACACATTTCATTTGCCCATCTCTTCGATTGTTGACGCAGTATGGGAGACAGCCAATACTCTTTTTCGCTCACTACTTTTAGGTATGAACCTGTCTCGTACTGGCATTCTCACCTGAAAACTTTCATTTTCCTTTCTGTTGCTGCTCGTATTATTAATGATCAATATAATCTGATAATCTATCTCGTTCTTTCACTTCTAAATTAGTCCATCTGGAAAGCTCGTTCAGATTGAACATGCCCTAACAGCCGTCGGATCTGGTCAAACATCTTTGGGAATCAAAGGTATGTTGCTTTGACGCTGCTATGAAAATCTAACGATTTCTCTCGTGTACTTGAGACAGACAGTCTAAGTTGGCTACTGAACCTTTTAGACGCCTCCACCGTGGTCTTCTTTTTTTTCGTAAACCCTGTAGACTGTTGACACTTCTACGCAGCGCGAAACTTTATTTTCTCAAACATTAGGATGATTTCGAAATTCTTGTGTAATTGTGTGAGTAGGGGAAATACCGCCTGTCAGTATCACGTGCCACATAGTAATTCTTGTGGGTGTCCAGCTTACCCTAGTTGATGCGGCGGTTAGATTATTGGAGGGTTTTCATTATGTTGCCAAAATGAGAAAATCTGGACTTTTAGTGAAACCTAATGGAGCCAACCCTGTGCCATTTTGTTAAGTTTTTCATTTATTATTTCTGCTGAATTACCTGGATTATTTAAGTCATTTTCTTGATCAAATTGGAACCAAAAATAAGAAAACGTGGTTCCTGCACTATGGATGGCTATTGACGTAGACATCTGAAGTCCAAGGGTACATCTAATTCAGTTTTCTAGTCAGATGTTTTCCGGTTTCCAATTCTAAGCTGGTTGCAAGATAAGCTTCTCAGAGTAGCTCTATAACTAGCGAGGGTTGACATGAGTTGGAGGATACTACAGAGTCAAAAATTCTGTTTCTTTTTTCCTGTAAAATACCACCAACATCATTAAGGGGGTTAAAGACGGAAAGATTCTAGTCTAGATAATTTGAGCAGCTATAATAGGTTAAAGACAAAGTAAGAAGTAAGAAGCCAGAAATATTCCATTACTTTCCCAGCTTAGGTTATTGTCAGGGCAATTTGAATGATTATAATAGGTTAAATACAGTTTACAGAGAGAAGTAAGAACTACAGTTACCAAGAAAGAAGCTATTATTGCCGAAATGTTGTTATTTCTGCTAATGCATCTGTGGCCGATACAAAGTTTCTTTCTTCTCTCCCGTGGGACCATCTTACGAGTACTAAAGGAAGAAAAAATTAACTCTCGAATGTTTGCTCTGTAATACTATAATGATGTAGGACAGCGAGGGTTGAGTGTCTTCCAAGAGACTTGGGCAGAGATTACAATTAGTTGTTTCAAAATTAAGAACCTCAATGGATGGGAGAAAAAGGGCCATGATAAACGTAAGCTCAGGATAAAACCAATTAGAGAAAGGGAGATAGTAGCAGCAGGGAGAGGGTGAGAATGGGAGAGGGGGGATCTTATCTTGAATACCTGTAGAGGTATTTTATGTTTTCAGAGTAATAGTAATAGGTGCTTCAAGTTCCTAGACTGAATCGTACTCTGCCCCTGGAGGCTTTGGCCTTGTTTATTTGACATTTTCAGTGTTTGTTTCTCCTCTGAATCATGAGGGTTCCATTACCTCCTATTTTTGAGGTGCTGGTGGGAAAAGTAGGTTAAACTGTTGCAGGAGGGAGCATTATTTGCTGGTGTACGGGTACTGTGGCTGGAGAGGAATGCAAGGGTTTGCAAAGATTATTTGTTGCCTTTTGCGATTCTTTAGGGAAAATAACTTTTTTGGCCTCTCTTTGGGCTAAGCCCCATGTCCTCTATAAGGATATTTCTTTGTCAATTTTACATAGAGATTGACTGGCTATTCTTTATGGAGTCGTCTTTTTTGCACTGCCTTAATCTCTTTCTTTTTGTCATTTGATTTTTATCTTTGGAGGATAACTAGTCCCCCATTGGTGTGCTTCTCTCCATTTATGATAATATTTTCTTTTTCTATAAAAAGGATGAGGTGGTAAAAAGTCAACTGAATTGACTAACAGGTGGTTGATGTAAGTTTTGGTAGTACTGACTATAGGTATAGAAGAACAAACATCAGTAGTGCAGATCATTTGGTTAGTTTGAACATTTTTACTCGAAATATGAGGTTCAATTAGCTTTTGTTTCCACGTTAGCTTATGAGTATTTTTTTATTTTTTGATCCATGATATTGAATATTTCTATATTTTATTTCTTTCTGCGGCTTGGCTATTTCTTATGTTACTTATGATTGTTTTGCTTGCCATTGCAGCTGCCAATGGCGTTGTTATTGCTACAGAGAAAAAACTATCATCTATATTGGTTGATGAAACCTCCGTAAGTGGATCTTTTTGCTGCTTTTCTATACTATTAAATCAGGCTTCCTAGTTGCTCTCTTGTTGATCTGAAAGTTCTGTTTTGATGGCATTTTCAATCCTGTTCTTCTTATTAGAGAACTGGGCCGTTTCTTATTCTTAATTTTTGGTTTCAGGTTCAAAAGATTCAGATATTGACCCCTAATATTGGAGTTGTTTACAGGTCTGTTTGCAACTAGACATAGTTTATCTATTGGGTTAGTCATAAAATATGCATCCTAGTTTCCAAGTAGAGTTTTTCTTGCCAAGTTTTTAGCCAATATTTTCTCCCTACAAATTGTATATGTTGCATCTTCATACTCTTTTCTTTTTTTGGGGTTAATGACTGATTTTTGCTCCTTTGTATGCAGTGGTATGGGACCTGATTTTCGAGTTTTGGTTCGAAAAAGTAGGAAGCAGGCTGAGCAGTATCATCGATTGTACAAAGTACTTCACAACTTTCTTGCTTGGGCTTACCCGGATGGTTGTCTCAATGCATCCAGGATTAATATGATTTGTCTTTTTTCTGAACTAGTTTCTTAAACTCTGACATGCAATGTGATCTGGTGTTCTTGTCGTCAGGAACCGATCCCTGTTACACAGCTTGTCAGGGAAACAGCTGCTGTTATGCAAGAGTTCACTCAATCAGGGTAATTACTGAATTTTATTGGTTTTAAAATGAATATGCAGTGGATTTGGCACTTATCCTGTTGGTGAATTCCTCTTTGTGAAGACCAAGAAAGTTTACTCATGAATCAGAAAGTTCAAGTGCATGCATAATTTACAAGGAAATAAACCTTAAGTCGTGGTTTTAGAACCTTGGGGACTAATTGAGCTTTTTTTTTTTTTTTTTGAAGAGGACTAACAGGACTAATATGATTTTAAGAAAAATAACTACTTTAAACTGCCCAATATTTCTGTTTTAAACCGCTATTATTGGTTTATAGCTTGAGATGAGAGTAGAAAGAACCTAGAGTTCCCCCACAAACTTTACTTATTCGTAAGTTTGTAAACAACAAATCTAGAGGATGAATTATGTCCTTCGCAACTGAAGCATTTAAAATTTTTTGAAAAATGGGAAATGACAATACTGTTTGAAAGACTTTGTAAATGACTGTCATCTCCCACTTAGGTAGATAATGTTTTTACTGCTCTTAATGCTGGAAACCTTTAATCATAACATATGGTCAGATTTTGTTTTTAGATGCATAATCCTCTTCTTTCTTCTGGTAGTGGTGTCAGGCCCTTTGGAGTCTCACTGTTGGTTGCCGGCTTTGATGACAAAGGTCCACAACTATATCAGGTATTGCCAGCCTACTTATGCGGTGGTTTGCGTGCTGCTGTTTTTTTCTTTCCTGGTGGTCCTTACTTTGTATCAGATTATCAAGGATGCTGGTTTGTACTTATAGTTTAATGAATCCTTTGTGCAAATTTCCATGTTGATCCAGAAGATTCTGGTTCGTCATCTCTCTTTTTTCTACAGTGTATCCACCAATACCTTATTTATCACCATTGAGCTGTGAAATTTTCGTATCATTACATTTCAAGTGAGCTTGAAATATTAGTGCATGTCTCTATCAGTTACTGTTGTATTATCTTGTTGCAACCGTGAATCTCTTTTAGTGCTGCAATCAGTATTGTTCTGGTGGCTTGGCGTCTGAAGGATTCACATTTTTTTCAGCTTATGCAATTTCTTTTGGTGAAACATTTATCAATATGTAGATTAGAGGAAGTTCCTTGTATCTTTTCTTTGGTGTAGGTGGACCCCTCCGGTTCATATTTCTCCTGGAAAGCTTCAGCAATGGGGAAGAATGTTTCCAATGCAAAGACATTCCTTGAAAAGAGGTGAGCTCAGTTTGGTAGCTATCAATATGTTAAACAGATTTTTTTTTCTACCTTTTTTTTATCACTTTTATTTTTCTTTTCCTCTATGATAGTAACTGGCTGCATTGCCTGTTGCATGGACTTGGGTATGGGTGTCCAGTATAGGTGTGACCTGATTATCTGACTGGGCAATTTTTATGGTTAAATATATCGGATTCGGTCAATGTTAGTCCAAAAATTAGGAATTGATATTTGGATTTATTTGATATAACAGATAAAATTAAGATAAGCCTATAGGTATAGTGTCATACAGGAAAAGATACATGTTGGGTCATGAGCAAAGAAGAGGTTTGTCACCTCCACTATCTCTTCCCACGCTCCCACCTTAAACCCCAAAGTAATTGGATATCTGTTAAGAGCATCCATCACAAAGATAAAAAGTAATGGAGAAAGGGATCTCCTTGCATAAGACCTAGAAGCCTTGGAAAAAACCAAAAGAACTGCCATTAATGAAAGCTATGAAAGAGGAAAAAAATGCAAGACACATCCACGAGCACCCAGATTCCAAACCTAGTCTCTTCACATGTAAACTAGAAACTTGAGACACATGACTATAGACCTTCTCATGCAAGCTTACAGTCAGCTCTCAACCCCCGCCTCCCCTTTATTCAAAAAAATAAA